CAAACTCACGATTCCGCACGGGGAACCGTGGGAAAAGGGAATGGTGTTTAGACAGTGGTGTACAGAAGCCGCGTCATTGGCAGAGGCGATATCCCCATATTTTGCACAGTTCTTCCGAAAGCGAGTGCAGGAGGGACAGACCAATTATGAGAAGCGTTTGAGGGATGGTTGTGAGTCAACTTTGCCAGCAGTTCATCAGGATGGAAGGGAGATGGAAACCCGATTGAGCCTAGCTCTGCTCAAGGCAATCCCGTCGTCGTTGAAGCAACCTGCTCTTGAGAAGGGGACTCCAAATGAGGCAGTGTCCACGATTGCATTGATGGAGACAGTGAGCGAGGTATTGATGCCAGGTGGCATAACGGAACAAGTGTCGCTGCAGAGATTCCTCAGGCAACTTCCCACGGCATCATCTTGCAAGGAGCTTCTTGCTACACTCAGGAGGTGGAGACTGGCCAAGCAACGCGCTGATCATTTAGGAGTACCGGAACAAGCCCCTCATGAGTCCATTGCTGCATTGAACAGTTTATGCCAACAGCTTGAGAAAAAACACGCTCTGTTGGGAACGAGACCCCACGACGGGGTGACATCATTCCTTCAGGTATTGGAAGCCGAGTGTACCCGGATTCAGGCGGAGGAGCAGACATCTTCGTCGTCCAAGGACCACCGGAAACATGAGGGTGATGAGTATGCCATTCCTTCGGCAAATCAGGCTACTGGGGGAAAGGGTGCCGGCGTAAAGCCATTATGCTCTTACTTCAACACTGCCAGAGGCTGCCTAAAAGGAGCAGGTTGCGAGTTCAGACATGAAGCGATTTCAAACAAGGGGAAGGGTGCCAAAGGCAAGAGCGGAAAGGATGGGAAGGGTGCTGGAAAATCTTCTCCTACAAAGGGGAAACCATCTGGTAAGGGTGACGCTAAAGCGATTGAAGACGCGAAGGCAGCTGAGGAGGCAAAGGCTAAGGCAGCTCAAGAAGCGAAGGCCAAAACGAAGGCCGAAAAAAGGGCAGCCAAAGCAGCAGCAAAAGCAGCAGCATCAGCAAAGGCTTCTTCGGTTGTGGCAGTTGCTAACGCGGCATCAGGGGAGGTCCCATCGTTGGTCGGTGCAGTAGGGTTGACTTCCTCCTGGTCAACAACTCCGCGCATCATGATAGCGCAGAGCTTGGATTGAGAGTGATGATGTTAGCGAGTCAGAGTCGCTTGAATCAGAGATTCCAATGAGGGCTGAGGGTGATACCCCAGAGTGGTCGGAAGTAGAGCGTGGCGATTTCTCTAGTGCAGAGCCTTCTTCGGATGAGGAGGAGGGTCAAGCTGATGAAGATCAGGATCCGCACTTGCCTCCACTTCGTCTGTGGGTGTTAAACTTGACGATTGAAGATTACATCATGTGGACAAGACCGGGTCACATTCAGTCACATGCCACTTCTGAGTTCCAGATGGAAACAAATACCAATTCAATTATGTGGCCTGTCTAGTGGACGATTGAACACGATTATCTTGATGACGATGAGCGGGGAGTGATTCCTGTAACGGAGGGCGTGGCGATGTTGAGGTATGATGTGACGCCAGTCTTGTTTGAGGATGGCATTATTCGGAATGTCTTTGTGGTTTGGCTCCTTGAGGAGGAGACTGGACAGGAGCGCAGGGTTGGAGTGATCAGAGGGCGAATTCGTCCTCCGGTTGTCACCCCGTGGCCACATCGAGTCTTGAGTACAGCAGCCCCAGCAAGCAGTCATCCAGTTGCGATGGCGCCGACAGTGAAGGCGCCACCTCAGGAGTTGCATCAGGGCTTTCCGAGAATGGGTTATCCAATAACTCCTCTGGCCAAAGCTGCAGCTTACGCTTGGAGAGCAAATGAGACTCAAGCGATTGTAGTGGCAGACCAATCTTCAGAAGGAGTAGCCGCAACTCACAAAGCAGCAGCACAAGCAGTAGCTACAGCATCCCACGTCCCTTTCGGCACAGTCCCTCAAGCCAAAGCTACAGCATTTCCTAAAGCGAGAGCAGTGGCGAGAGCACTTCGAGGAGGAGGAGCAACCATGCCGACAGCTATGCGGTGTTTGTGTGTAGAGGAAGAGCCTGATTGGGAACCTCCGATGTTGGTTGGAACTAAAGCTGAGCCAATCATCGCTAACAGACTTGAGTGCATTGATCATCCAGTTGGAAGTGCAGTGATCAGTCAGCAGCCGTCGGTGTTGGTGGATTCGGGTGCGAATGAGACTATTCGTCCTTGGCTGCAGACATCAAGGAAAGTGGATGCACCCACACGGCCGTTGTAACGGCGAGGGGACTGTGGCGGTCGACATGCAAGGTTTGGTTTCCAAGATCAATAGAATTAGGTTGAATCACAACATCCTGCCATTTCAATGTGAGGGCTTCCCGAACTCGGAGAAGACCAGTGTAACACCACATCATGGCCAAGCTGAGCTGAGGCCGGTTGAGAAGCAGAGCTACCACGAACATCGAAATGAGCGGCTCGGGAGGGGCCGCGGGGGCCTGTCGCGGCGGAACCCGACACCCTCATGCATCATATACCTTCCAAGCCGTCTTGAAAGATGACCGAGGGTTGACTTTTTGAACGGCTGAAAGAGCCCAACCACAAGCCGCCCGGCCCTTACCGTCTTCAGACTCAAACGCATCCAACAACCATTCTGCTAGGAAATTATCCTGCTGTTTCTCGGACATCTCATCCCACACCAAATGCATTTTATGCAACTCATTGCTGAGATTGGACAAAGCGGTGAGGTAGTTGTCTCGAGTGGAGGGTTTCAATGTGTGAAGCAAGAAAGTCTGCACTCGGCTGGGCCATTGCCACGAAACATGCCTGCTACCATCCCAGGGGTCTCGAGCCTCGCCAACCTCCGCACATAGAGGCTTAAACGGCCTGCTGTATCCCCGGCTAGTCGTCAACAACCATCGCTGCACAAACATGGAAGCAAGTGCATTGGAAAAATCATGGGGGTATGTGGCAGCATCAGCAGTCCGTGGAGGCAATAAACCAGCGCGTGAGGCATGACCATCATGCCAACAACGCTGATGTAGCATTTCACCTCCTCTGGGCAGCAGCAACCCTGTAGGTTTCCGCCAGTTTGCTCCATAACAGCACTGATCGACCTCACAGTATTGAAGCCGAAGCTGTTTGCAAGCTACGACAACCTCAGCCGTATTGAAGAAAGAAGGATACGGCTCGCAACCAGGGTCCGCAAGATGCCCCACTCCCCTCGCTCTGGCCTCCCCCATAAGCCCCAAACAGATCAGAAATTGAGCAGAACCGAGCTAGAGCGCCCTCTGGAGAAACACCCCGTGCAAGCTGCAGAATCCAGACCGTGAACAAAGCGGTGATTGTCATCTCGCGGCCTTCGGAGGCGATCCGCAGCATCCGCCTCACCAAGAGTGATGTGCGTGGGAGTCCACGGGCAGCCAACAGTGGACCAGCGTACATGTTCAATCGGTAACCGTACCTTTCTAAGTGGACACTGATGTGCATGCGTCAACCCAATCGACCACGGGAAAGAAAGGTTGGTATATACCTTGCCATGATCACTGTAACGAGCTATTGCCTGCACCACGTGAGTAGATACAACTCCCCATGCACGACCCAATCCTGTCATAGATGCATCTGTGCACTCCAGGCGTGTACTCCATGGCGCTGACACATTGAAAGAACAATATGGAAGTGTAAGCGCTGCCATGCAAAGCTCCACCCACACTGTAGGCGGCAATGGGGCCCTGGCTTTCCTGATGGACCTCATGCTCGTAACCCAGTGGTACACGTCCTGGAAAATCGACCTCAAGCATGGGCGAGCCGAGTGAGCAAAACCATATTTACCCACCAGGCGCTCCACATGCAAGGCTGACCGTACGCTGCATTAATATTTGAATAGTGCCCTGAAAAAGGTATCGACGCTTTTCCATGGACACTCCTACCCAATGCAGTTGCGGGTGCACAAAGTAGCCCTGAATCTCCTCACCAGCTGCTGCATCAATGCTCTTCTTAGTGTTCGGCTCCACTCCGCGAGCCACCCACGCAGCCTCCGCACGATTTAACCACTCAGGACCGACCGTAGTTTCACCATCGTGCCCTTCATGGTCAATGCACCAAATGTCGTCTACTATGGACCCCCAAACAGGGAAGCCTAACGGCACCACAAAGTCAGGGTGCAAGCGACTGTCATGCGGCAATTGAGCATCATCAGCTACCACATCAGTTAACGCCTGTGCCCAACCAGCCGATGGCCCAAAACCCATTGGTGCTGAACACGCTGCTGGGTAACGCCAAACCTCGCCACGTGGGCCTGCAACCCGTATAGGTGGCCCGCATAGCCATCGTCGCCAACGCCTCCCGATGCGAAGACGATGGAAGTAATGGCGAGCGTCCCGCTTAGTCACCAACAGACTTCCTGTACTAGGGGCGGTAATGGTTCTAAGCTTGGGGATGTACGCAAATTTTGGACGCGGCAGCTTCTCCGGATCAACCAGCTGATTGACACTGGGGTCAGTGATGACTCTGTCTTCGAACTCATCCTTGACCACGGCAAAGGCCCTGCTAAGCACTTCACCCCACGATGCTTGGCCACTTGAGCTGGCTTTCGTAACATATGTAGTCCGGCCTTCACATTACGCTTCACTAACTCCGGGTAGGTGGGCCCCAACCAGGTATACCCACGTTTAACCCGCCTGGGCCTCCGTCGAGATGGCAATAGAAGAGCCGCAGGCTCCTCAACCTGTCGAGACATCTCTGGAAAGGTATCCTCCAGATGCGCGCCCAATGGCACATCCGCAGCTTTCTGAGGAACACCCCCACGCACTCCCAGAGCTAGGAGAACACTACTACCGGAATAATGCTGTGACTGCCTCAAATAATCATCCAGCCCTTCGCTAGACAGAATAGGCTCATCAGTCAACACCATGGCCTCCAGCGCATCTCGTAAGCGATGATGCACTCGTCCGTGAGCAGCAGATAGAACCAGATTCTCATCCCGATCCACCTGCCCTCCATGCATAGCATTAACCACCGCCACTGTGAGGTTGACACCCTCCAAAAGATTTGGACAAGCTTTCGTACTCAACCTCGCAGACTTACACACAAGGTGTCCATTCTCACTGTAGGGCGGTAAAGGAAAAACATGGGCAGGAGATTTCCACTCACAATTGCGTGAACGACACCTGCTGTGCGACTTGAATTCCTTCATGCACGAGCGGTTACCCAGGATACGACGCAAGCGAGCCACTTCATGTGACAAATGGTGAGCACAATACGGCCCTCCCAACACCGCAGTCAAAGCAGCAGCGGAGACGGAGTAGAAAACCCCAAAACCCATGTCTCCACGGCAGCCCGCCCGCCTGGCATGCCAGGGCCGCCGAAACATACGACTCAGGCATTGGTCAGAGCCAGCATTGCGTTGCTGGCCAGACTTTTCTGGGAGGTGACCAGCTCTATGGCCTCCGCCTTCTCCCATGTTCCTCCCTTCGCTTTTGCTGACTGTATGGCTAGGATACGCTGGCACAGCACATCCAAAGCCCTCGCGATCTCCTTCCTGTTCACCGCATCGAGAATCTCTGCCAAGGTCAAGACCTCCTTCATGTCCCGAATCTCTGTGAGCCCCGTGAACTGATGCGCCCAAGCCGAAACCGAGACATCGCGTAGCTGCGACCAGGACGTCACCGTGCCCTTGGACAGGCGGGCGTACACACCTGCCAAGAAATGGGCCGTCAATGCCCCGGGATGCTTGGCCGCATAGGCCACCAAATCCCCCCGCTTCTTCCAGCGGAGGCCGTCCACGTGTGCCAGATCGGCATAGGATACGCTGCGATCCTTCCCCTTTTCCTTCCACCGGACCGGCTTGGTCGATCCGCTGCTGGAGCTTGACGACCGGCTGCTTGAACTGGATGTGCTGTTGCTCCGGCTCGAGCTTGAACTGGTTGACCGACCGCGAGATTTCTTTCCTCGTTTCTTCTTCTTGCTCTTCTTGGCATCCTTCTTCTTGTCCTTTTTCCCCTTCTTCTTCTTCTTTCTGTCGCTGCTGTGACGCGCCTTCTTCGGATCCCTGTCCTGCAAACTCATAGCCTGCAGTTGCTGAACAGCGGCTTCCAAAGCCTTGAGGTCCACATCTTGCTCTCGCCCGGCGGCCGCATTGCCACCGAGTCCCAGCACGGGAGCCCCTGGGCCTCCATCTGGCCCCACCGCGGCGGGAACCACTGGTGCAGGCACCACCTGACGCAGCTGCAGCGGCGTCATGCCGCCGGGTTGCCCTGGTACATTCACTACGTAGTTTCCCAAACCCTGCTGCTGCAGTTGGGCTAACACCAAAGCCGCATCCTGCACTACCACATGGATGTCTCCCTGACCCGGGATCCATTGGTCAGCGGCCTCAGGAGGAACACAAATCCAATTGACGTTGTTGGCTCCGAGTCCCCTTGGTGCTGAGCGGGTACCGTTGGCGTTCACCGTAGGTGTCCGCAGATTCCCCGCGTCCAGTCGCACAAGCACCCAAACCCAATCGGATCCGTCCTCTGACGTAGTACGCCCAAGGAATTCTGTGGATCCCGCCACGAATCCTGATAACAGGACCTCGTCCCACTCAGGAGGGCGCGACACCAACACGAAACTCCCCAGCGTAGGGCCACCAGCTGCTCCAGCTGGCCCAGCTGCCACCAGCGCGGCCACACCCACGCAGGTTAGCCCAGGACAGTCTGTTCATGTGTATCCGCGGGACCGGCAGAAGGCACTCACCCCAGAAAGGCAGCAGTAACACAGCTCGGTGAGCAGCTGACCCCAGGTTAGCAGGACACTACCCAAAGAAATGAGTAGGACGACAAGTCGCCGGCACTAAGCCACCCAGCCAGAAGATCCGAAGAAAGAAGGATAAGCAAGCCTCCTCAATGATGGAATCACCGGTCAATTGACGAATAATCCACCTGACAAGACTGCGTCCCGCTTCTGATGCAACTTGCCTTCCAGCTATGTGCAGGTATGTGTACCACACACACCCTGAGCCAGTTGCAATGGCCAAGGTTGTGGCCCTATCCATACAGCTGAGCCTAGCCTGACGAGAGTCTTGAGCAATAAAAGTGAGACGAGGCTACACAGTCACTACTTGATTCTACGCGTGACAGATACAGACAAGTCGGAGACAGCATCCAACTGTTTGCTATTATACTATTTTACCACCACCAGAGCCGTTTGCATCTCGGAAACCGACCTGCGCCGGTTCACCCAGGACTTTACTATTTTATTATTTCTGTACTACTCTTCTACTATGTCCTATTTACTGTTGACTACTCTACTATTTGCTATTATACT